ACAAGGAGATTATACGGAAACCATGGTTCATTTTCTGATAGTTGGTTCTAAATACCCTGTAATAATGTTGTTCTCTTGAATGGTTTTACATTGTCTTGATATGTTTGGTGCTACAGTATACGAAGTTATACTCAAAGATTTCAAGGAAAGAGACACTATGTAACTACTTTTATGTCAGCATATCTTGTGGTGAAACACTATTTTGCTTAAATGGCTATGCTTTGACCTGTGCTATTTTGTGGTTATGCCCTCTTTTATCTAAATCTTTTTTAAAATTATTTACTTTTTAATTAAGGGGAAAATAGCAGGATACATTATAGTAACCTACTTTGATTTCCTATTAACTTGATTTGAAACCCTATATAGCCCTCACCATCTTGCTTTGACTGATTTTCCTCTATTCTGCTTTGCTTGATAGTACCAAGTTCGAAAGTATAGGCAAAACTGTGAAGACAGTAAGATTCATTATGACGCCCATTCTGGTTGACTATTATCTTCTTTTAAAGTCCTATAATGTCTCCAGTGCTTTGGTTTTATTCTTTACTGTTTTATTCAATTTTATTATAACTGATGATATAGGCAATTCTTTTTAAGATAGCAAGAGGCATTATGGTAACAATTGTTGATCACCTAGTATTTTGTTTTTACATTATCTGTTATGTCCATCCTTTTGATTTGACTGACTCTGTTCTGTTATGTCACATTTGGTTTTACTCTCTTCAAAAAAAGTAATAAGAACTGTGGGAGTAATAAAACGCAAAATGTGTAATTGTCATTGTACAAAAGAAAGGAAAAGAAAGTGCTCTAAAGAATATAACTGCATATATATTTAAGTGTATAAGATAGATAACCATATTACTGAGTTTTGTCAGATCATTGAACAAAACTGTTTCCAGTCTCATTGTTTGAAAGTCCATTTTGTATGCTTTAATTTTGTAACTTGAACAACTGTTTCTAAGATAACAATGTGTAATCTATTAAGTAGTGATTTCCTACTGTTTATTTTTCTGAAATTCTGTATAACTTGTACCCTTTTTCTGTTTTTTTTTTTCTTTTTCTCCTTAAAAAAAAAAAATTTATGTCTTAAAGACTTGCTACATGGATCCTGTCCTAAACAAGACATCAAAGAAACCTCTTCTCAAAGTTAAACACCAGTGGGGGAAAACAAAAGTTTAGGTGTAACAGTAAATTATAGTAGTGATAACAAGACCCAAAGGAACCCAAGGAGCCAGTGCTGGATATCACAGACCCCTGAACCTTCCTTACAAAGGGACATTTGCACTGAGATCAGACCTTTAGTCTGAGGTTTCAGAGGTATTTATTACAGTAAAGGAAAAAAAAAAGTTTTCCATCTCATGCTGAAGCACTGTTTAGATTCCCTTGGTATTCATAGGTCTGCAGGATGACTCCATCCAGATCTCATATTTGCAAGGCTTCTAACAAGTGAATGGTACGATTCCTACCCTTGTTTGTTTTGAGAGCCTGATCTTGAGTTTGAGGCTGTGATCTCAGAGCTGGTGAGCTCTTCCCCATGAGTGAGCCTCCTGCAGGGTAGGCATGCAGAGTGAGCAAGAGGAAAGTAACTTGCAGATGGCTTTTCCTCCTTATTTTAGGTGGGTAATGACATACCTACCAAGGAAAGCTTCCTGCTCATTGTTTTTTCTTTCTCTAAGCTACGTTTAAGTTAACAGCAGTCTTTACATAGTGTTATGTTTTTTACCTAGAAACATTTATTCATAGTTTTGAAAAACAGAGCATTCAATACTATGAAACTTTGCACAACTTCAAATGATTAATGATATAATTCTGAGCCCTTTATAAAGTGTCTTAACACCAGAGAGATTTATACAGTGTGGAGTGGCAACAGTGCTTGGATGTGAGAATAGGTAATCAATACCTGCAAGGTTGGAAAAAGCTTCTATTTCCTCCACTAATAACATAGGGGGTTTTGCAAGGCAAGGGTGTCTGGAGCATGACGCAATCCCAAGAAGAATTAATTTAAAATCTGAAGTGGAAGATCAGTTTCAATTAAAATTACACTTGAATGTATATTGGGTAGAAGTGTGAAAGCAAGCATGTAGTCAGCTTAAATCTTCAGATTGTTACCAATGAATAAATGAATCTTACTAGTACAAACCCTGGCTATATTTTTATAGAATGCTAAATTATATCTCACCCACATCTGGAAAGTGGCAAGAGGTAATATGAATGGCAAATAGTTTTCGATCCCTGCAGGGTATTATTGTTGTTATTATTACTATTTTTGATAGTGGGATAATTATCAGTATTAGTATTTGTGTTTTAACAAATGCTGGCTTGCACATATTATGTTTCTAGAGTTGTACATGTTGAATTCATTTTACTATGAATTCATAGCATTTTTTCTCATTGAGTGTGGTTTTATACTTGTAAATTTCCGGAACTCATTTTGTACACACACAAACATAAGTGATGCAAAAACATTAGTTTCCATATTTTGAACATAGAGACCCAAGTGTAGCTAACAAAAATTCACATGTTGCTCAGGCATCAAATATATCAACAAGCACTTCATTCAGTTTTGTCATATATTCTTTTGGCATCTGGAAGAAAATTTCAACTGTGGACAGGGTAATTGGAGCCATTTGTTATGTCCCTTCTCCTTTTTCTCAAATGTCTAAACAGAAGATGAAAATCATGTTTGACTGCAGTATGTGCAGATTTCCACCCTGTCCCTTTGTGACTCTTCACACTCTTAGCAAATGTGTGTGAGAAATGAAGCAAGTGAAGAAAAAGCCTTGACACTTCCTGGTTCAGTTGGATTTCTACTACATAGAAATGGTGATATTAACTTTCTTTGAAAGTGTTATGGCACTTAAGAATGCCTTCAAAGTTCTCCAAAATATAGCCAGGGTTTGTACTAGTAAGATTCATTTATTCATTGGTAACAATCTGAAGATTTAAGCTGAGTTTTGCCATCCTATTGTTACAGGAGAATGAAACTCCCAACCTACTATGTCCATGACTTTGTGTTCTCTAAAGTTGCAAAATGAATTTTAGGAAAAACGGAGGTTAACAGCAGAATATATTTATTGAGAAAGAAAGCTTCTGTCTGAGGGAGAGACAGACCCATCCCGAGTGGTTTGCCAGAACTCTGTCTTTTCCAGGGAATTTAAGAATAAAATCATGGAGTGAGATGTTTGTAAGGTGAGAAAAACTGGGAACTCACAATGCAGATGGGCATAACGTGGGACATAACTATAATTAGCCAATGTGATTAACAGTTCAGGTAAAACTGATTAAATTTGGGACAAATAAGTCGCATAGAAAGCAGGCCTTCTTAGAAAGCAGTGACTCTTCCCTAGGGGGTTGTAATGTTGACTCCTGGCTTCCTCAAGGTGATAGGGAACTAATTAGTATATCAGTCTTTAAAATGAGGATGCATTTGTTTGATCCTTTGTCTTCAGGCCTGGCCCACAGCAAGAGGTGTCTTGTCTCCCCCAGGGTTGCAAGGTACTAGGCCTTTGCCCTGGCTTCTTTGAGGACCTAGCCCTGTCTGACTGCCTATAATATTTCTAACTAACTCAGCTGCCTGCAACACTATCAACATCTTTGTGTTAGACTGTTGTTACCTTACTGTTTGGAAAATTACCCAGACATTAGAGCAGGTCTTAAATGTTGGTCAGGTAGCCAGAATATGAATCATTCCCCCTACCACACCTTGGTACTGGGAGATTGAGCCCAGGACTTTCACACTGACTATATCCCCAACCATTTTTTATTTTTTATTTTGAGACAGGGTTTCACTAAAATCAGGCCTCTCCTGTCTCAGCCTACCAGAGTGGTGGGATTATAGGTATATACCATTGTAACCCTTTGTGAACCACTTTTAAAGGGCAAAGTAGATGCTCTTGCAGCTGTGAACTTTCTGTCACCAGGACTGAAATGGTCCTCTGTGATTTTCCCATGTTCTCTGTGATTGTTCCTTTTTTTTTTTTTTTTTTGGTATCATTGTTTGTATCAGCTATGAGAGTACTGGTTGAAGGAATAGGGCATGCTATGGTAAATGATGGCCTGGTGGCAGGATGGGCCTTCTCAGGGAACAGTAGGAAACTTACCCTTGTCATTTTGCCCAGTCTTTCCTTAGGTGAGGTGAGGTCTACTAATCTCGTTGTAGCCATTTATCTTTTTATGTGATACTGGAAGATATTTAAAGTCGCAAAACTTATAAGATACGTGTATTTACATATATGTACACACTAAATTTTCTTGACTGAGATGTCTATGTTTTATCTTGTAAAAATTCAGGCAGTTCAATTCACAATACTTTATAAGTAATTATAAAAAGAGATTATTTGAGGGGTGTCCTAGGAACCCTGGGCCTTTATGCTATATCTCTAACCCTTTTTAAAATTTTTACTTTCTTAGAGATAGAGTCTTCCTAAGTCACTAAGTTGCCTAGGCTCAGCTCCAGTGTTGAATACTCCTGCCTCAGCCTCTCAGAATGCTGGGATTATAAGCATGCTAGGCTTTTAATTTTGATTTTTTTTTTTTTTTTTTTTTTTTTTTGCCTTTCCTGTTTACATAGTCTTCTGAGCTAAGAAGCAAGCTATACTCAGGACATTGTTCACAACAGCAAAACTGCTAAGTTGATTAAGTCACTTTCTTGTGAATGAATGCTCTGATTATTTTAAGAAACTTATTTAAAATTTTTCAAAAATGTGAACAACTCTGACAGCCCTTCTGTGCAGCTCTCTGAATCTGATTAAAGATTAAGTTAGCAAATGTTTGATTGCAAATCAAGAAGCAACCTCTCTTAAGTAACATATCTTTTCTGAAATCTTGCCACGTCCAGCAGATGGATCTGATCCATGCTTCTCAGTTCTGCACTGATTTCTTCAAAATGAGGGCATGTTGGGGAATGGACTTTGGAGCATGCACCCCCCTCGTGTTCTAAGTCTTGCTTATTCCATCCCTGGCCTTTGAATCTTGTGGACTGAAATGCTGCTTTATTTCAACAGGTACCTATGGTCCTGAGCACTGGGTCACATCTAGCGTCAGCTGCGGAGGCCGTCACCAGTCACCCATAGACATCGTAGACCATCGTGCACGCGTTGGAGAAGAATACCAAGATCTGCAGCTGGATGGCTTTGACAATGAGTCTTCTAACAAAACCTGGATGAAAAACACGGGGAAAACAGGTGGGCTGAATTCTTTACTTTTCCATGGGTCAACGTAAAATCTTTACCCAGACCTGCTCCTTAAATAAAGCACGTAACTGTTCTTTAATGGGCTTAGGTTTACCAACCTGTTTGGTGGCCTTGCGCAGATTACTTAATTATTCTGTGCTTCAGTTTTTTAAAAACTTGACAAGTAGATAGTAAGGTAGCACCAACCTAATCAGTTTATAATGATTCAGCAAGTTAGCAAGGGACATTGAGTGGCCTTTCAGAAATCTCATCCAGTATAGTAGCCACTAGTCATATGTGGCTATGAAATGTAACATATCTGAAAAGTAGGATTAAAATTGAGTTCGTCCATTGTGGTGGGGGCCTTTCTGAAGCTCACCAGCCCCATATACCTGGAAGCTACCATTTGGGTAGCACGTACAAAGTTCTGTCAGATAACATTGTGCCCAGTGTGCCAATGGAAGTAAAATCCTTCTCTTTCTTGAGATTTTGCTTTGTTAATCATCCAGAGTGAAGGTAAGCATCTGTTTGAGTTTCAGATCTGTAATTTGATTTTTCTACTCCTTTTTCCTTATTCTCTTTGTTCTTTGAGGATTTGTGAATAGACAGCATGATCCCTTTGCCATTGCTAATACCATTGCTAATACCATTGTTAATTATTGTGCTGCAGAGGTCTGTTCTGGATTGTCCATTTAGGGAGACACAAATGTTTATCTGTGCTCCATTGGCCTGTTGAAAAGTCAATATTGAGATGTATTACGTCCTGCTTACTACTGCCTCGGGCTGTGTGGGCGCCTAGACATGATTTTTATGCCTTATAACCAAGTAAGTTTGCTCTTTTTTCCTCTCCTCCTTTCTAAATAAACACGTGGTAATGAAAGATGTCACTGCAAGCCACTCACGGGCTCTGGTGACTTCACTGCCTGCCCTTTGGTCTCATGCATGTTGCAGAGTGGCCTTTTCTCTGACTCTGCCCGGCTGCACATGCAGCACTGGAGTTCCATTTTTTTCTCTAGACCACTGTTTGTCTGAATGTTTGTGGGGGATTGCTTTGAGTTGGCCTGGCTGGTCCACAGGATTGCTCCCCACTGACTCATTTCGTGACTCATGGGGAGGGCTCTTTTTCACGACGTGTTCCTGAGCAGTTGTCCTTCCGGTCTTTACAGCAGTCTCCCTGTCCTGCACCCTGATTCTTTCTCTTTGGGAAGAACTTGTGTACCAGCACTGCTGTGTATACAGCTTTTCACTCTTCAGCATAGATTTTGTGCTTATCGTTAAAATTCAGGTTCTGTCCTGCTTCAGATGTCAAAAGCACCTGTCTTGTCAAAAGCTGTAATGGGGCATTCCTCTTTAGCATGTCTGAGTGTGGTGTAGGAGAGTTTCACCAACTCGGGTATGGTCAGAAGTTGGAGTTGAGTGCCATCCTAGTGCCCTGTTCTGGAAGCTTGCCAAAGGCAATGCACTAGGCTCGCTGATGTGGTTTTCTACTTGACTTGCAATGCCTGACAGCCTTCTGCAAAGATAACACGCTTCAGTGACAGCTTTCAGCTTGGTATCACCAATGAAAGGTTTTAGTCATGTGTAGGGTTCACTCAGTGCAAGTTGATTCATGACCTTGGTCTTCCAGAAGCTGGTTATCAATCTCTTGTCACTCTGCCGACTTTCCAGAGTTACCTACCACTGGCGGCCTCTCTCTGTGCCTGGCTCTGATTTTGGAGCACAGCTTGCCAGATTTAAACACATCTGTTTCAGAGATTTCAGAAGCACAGCATTTGGAGAAGCAGAAATCAACCCCTGATATTTCTTAAACTGTACTTATTATTGTCAAATTCACGACATAATCCTGGATAGGCCCCTATCATAAATCCTCTAAAATAACTCTGTGGGAGGGGCTTTTACAAAGTGACAGCCAGTTGGTTATATGTAGTTTGAAACAAGAACATAAAATTATTTTCTTGATTTCTTCAAAGCATATCAACTTAACAGTGGTTTTGAAATTTGGGTACTTGGGGCTAGGGATTTAGCTCAGTGGTGTAAGCACCTGCCTTGCAAGTGTGTAGTTGTGAGTTCAATCCCTGGTACCGATAAAAAAGAAAAAGACAAAAAGAAAATTGGGTGCTGAAATAAAGCTTGTGGGTATTTTGTTTTGTTGTTTTTGCACAAGCCTAAGACCTTTCATTCTGTGGCTGTTAAAATGCTATATAAATTCATAATTTTCCAGTGTTTCAGGGAAAATAAAAAATCTGCTCGCTCTGCCTGCACACATGAATGCAGGTTGCTATGTGGCTAAATTAGGGTGGGCTGGCTGCTCTCCACAGGGAATTTTACTGATGGGCAACCTTGATAATTTCAATTCTTTTTTAAAGCACAGATCTCATTGTGAATTTTGAAAGATGGTGTAATTGGAGGAAATAGGTAAAGGGATGTGATATGTCTCCATTATTTCTTACAACTACACAAATTGACAAAAAGTTATAAAGTTAGATTTTTGAACAAAATCCATATGGTTTAAGCCACATGACTTGACTCTACAGCAATTATTAATTTTACATCTATCTAAGTATATCTTAACTTAGTAATTTTTAAGCAACAAATATTTTTCCTTCCTAAAAGTATGTTCTTGAAGCTTGTATTTCCAGAAAGTAATTTCAGGAGTGAGTCTGTATATATATATATATTTTTTTTTTCTGAAAGAAATTTACAGGTCACTTATCTGTAAAATAGACTCTGTCTTCTGGATGTTAAAATGTGAATATTGAAAGTTAATATTTAAAACAGGGTATGATATACAGACAGTAGCTTTTCCAGTAAAACAGTTTTAATGTTCAGATCTGTTATCCCCACCCCTCCCCACCCATATCGCTATATATCCCTTTGGCGTGATCAATAGAGCTACTTGGTCTCACCTCGCCCACTTCTGGCAATTGTCTGAAATACCTTTGCAAGACAGATAGCGCCTCTATTTCTTCTTGAGGAGTTATAACTGTCTGTTGTGCCGGCTCTCATTTAGTTTGAAGTTCTTTCTCTTTTTTTCATTTTCATGAAGTGAAAGACAATGCATTCATCAAGAACATTTCAAGATAATCTTACTGTTTGTAGCATTATCTTCTGGCTAAATGATCAGAAGTGAAGAATTAGATGGCCCTGCTGATGTATGTCACAAGCTGTGGCCTCCTTTGAATTTTAACTATGGGAAGGGCTCTGTGTCTTGCTGTTTTGTTTTTATCCACTTTCTCTTAATGCTGCACCAAGGACATAGCAAATGTGTTCTTCCATTAGCATTTTACTTCCATTTTCCCACTGTATTTTGGTTTATTGTACTTTTTCTTTGCCTATGTTCTGTGACTCCCACGGTTGTCTTTAAGAAATGGATTTTAAATTAATAAAAAGAAGATTGGTGCTGGGGACTATTGATATAGGTCAGGGACAGTTTCCTACCATGTTATCCATAAAGAGAAACACAAAGAGTCTCTTACATGCATTATATCCAGGCCTCCGAACTTTTACACAAAATCTTAAGAATAGATGAATTGCTGTGCAGTATTTTTAGAGAATAAGTTTCTAGCTGTGGTCATTGCAGCATGCACCTTCCCTGAGTAAGTACATGACCTGGGCTAAGTGGCAGAGAAGGATGTGGCTCTCCCCTCTTCCCACACACATGGTGAGGCTTCCTGAGATCCAAGAAGGTCTGATGCTGAAAACACTGCTTTCTGATGTTCACCGCGGACCACTCCCTCTCTGAAGGCCTAGAGAGTTGCTAATCTTCCTGCTGGGGCCTGATGGAGCCTAACTCTGAGAGCTGCCACCAAGCTCCACCTGCAGTCATCCAGGGAACTTTTCCAGTGCCACCTCCTTCTCTGTGACAAGCTCCCTCCCAGCTTCCTGGCCTACAGTGGTCCCAGTGCCCACCCTATGATGCAGTCCCAGATCACAGCCCTGGCCGCCCATGTGCATCACACAAGCCGATGCCTTTAGAGTCTTGAGATTGGAAAGGAGGTTTCTGGGAATTGTGTGTGCCTGTGTTTGTCTTTGCCCCTTTCTGTGTTTGTGCTTTTGTTCTGTTGCTGGTCCCCATGTGACCCTGATACTTCTTTGTGGTTTCATTATCTCTGACCTTTCTTCCTTTTTATTTACTAGGAACCCAAGGTCACAGGTATGGTGGCAGTTGTCTGAGGCTCCAGTTGTTAAGATCCAATAATAATAGATTTTCTGACCTAATAAATGCTGGAAAGAAATGAGCAGATGAGATGGTAAACAGCTAATTCCTCCATCCATTATTCTTTAACACTTAGTATCTGCTGCTACTTAAACAGAAAATTTGACTTAGCCCTGCATGTATGTTTGTGTTGAACTCAACTTATAAAGTGTTGACGGATATCCCACAAAGAATGCCACCACCATCCGGAGCTCATTTGGACTGCTCTTCAGTCCTTGATGAAGGAGTAACCTGACTTCCAAGCTGCCTTTGCCCCTGGGCACAGCCTTGGCAGACTCTGGGGAAAGTCCAGAACCCCCCACCATTCATCACCTTTATGAAAGCACTTAGGTAATGGCAGCTGTGTGCATTAATTCTAATGACATCCATCTTTGCAGTCCTCTGGACCCATGTGGAAGTTATCGCTGCCTGATCCAGTTCTACAAAGTAGGAACTGAGACACCCAGAACAGCAACTGCCAACATGACCTTAGTGTACCTGGATTCTAATCCAGATGGGCTCTGGAGTCCAGCTGCTCAGTTCCACCTGTGTACCAGGTTTCCTTTTGAATACCAGGATGGTGGGGACTGCTGCTCTGGGCTCCTGTCTCAGATAAGAAACCCTGTATTTGGAACCCCAGAGCCTCCCACTTTCTTGGAGTCTACCTTTGATTTCACCACTGTCCTAAGTGTTAGGGAGCAGTTTATCCACTCATTGAGGGGCTTATGCTAGAAAGGCCTTTGGAGCCCCTCCCCCCATATCTGTTTGTGTTAGTGCAGGCTACTGAGTGGTTACACCACACACACATGTCACAGTGCTGGAGACTGTCTCAGCCTCCCAGGGTGCCAGTACTCTCCTGGTGTGTTCTGCCACGCCCAGCTTGGTACACTCTAGTTCAAGTTCATGCTCATAAGATATAATGTGCTCTGTGCTCATCACCTTTGCGCCATGGTGTTTTTGAAGCAGTGTTGTCATTCAGTGGTCATTAGGAAATTGTCACCTAATAACTGGGAAAGTTCATGCCTCCCACTTTCATATGTAAACAAAAGCGAGCCATTTTTGGAAAGGGTATATGTGCATGTAGCACTCTGTGAGAAATACTATAAAAAGAAAAATGAGATGAGGGTTTCAGATTGTAGAGTTTCCTAATTATGCCTTTAATTATTTATATAAAACAAGTAAAATGACCTGTGACAGAACCATAAATGATTTAGGTGAAATCAAATATTTATAGAATGATGCGGTGGCCCTGGTGTATTGTAGCAGATGCTCCTAACATCTCTGTCTTTGTCCCTTCGATGCAGAATTTTTTAAAGATAGAGCTTATAGTGGGCTAGGAATAATCAACAGTATAAAGGCGCCACTGAGCAAATGTCTAGGTATTTTGACATTGGAATAGGATGTAATGGTTGAAATTGATAGTATGTAATTTTAAAAAGCTGTCATTCAGCTTATTTATGTATACAACAATTTTATGTTATTTCAGATAATATTTTGTTTTCTGAGATACTATATTTTAGGTAGAATGAAATGATAGGCCCTCTGGCTTCCATTACACTTTTAAATTCTTTTAAAAATTCAAAAAGAGAATCATAAATAGTCTGTAACCCTTGGACACTGTATCAGACTTAAATTCCAGTGTGGTTAGAGCAGTATCGGAGCAGAGGCCCTCCCACTCATTGGTGTGCTGTCTTTAGCTACTTGTGTGCTACAGAGATGAGGTCAAGTTGTGCAGATCCCCTGCAAAGACTAAAATATGAACGAAAATGCCCCTAGCTGGAAAAGCAAGCTGACCCCTGTTCTAAAACACACCACAAAGTAAAGTTGTAACAATGCCTTAGCATGTTTAATTGGCACAAGAAACACATGCCTCATTTCATCCTTTAATTCACTGCCCTGCTAATTGAATATTCACTGTATATTTTTCAGAAGTTGGGGGAAAACTGCCTTTTGAATGCAATAAAAAGGGATTTATATGAGCAGGGTTTCTTCGCTTGCATTTAATGCTTCCTTTATACACAGAAATACTGAAACTAATTGCCCTGCTTTAGAAATGGGTCATTAGTCTAGTCCCTATCTTTTATGGTGACCTAATTTGCATGCAAAGTTTCTCTCTGTGGCTCTAGCTGGGATCTCTAGGAAGAGGTAACAATGATGGTCTGAAAGCTTTCTCATGGCTTGGAGAACCTTGGCTTTTGGTCACAAGCCATTCAGTATATTGGCTAACATCTAACACATGTTTAGCAGCCATTAAGGATTTGTTAAATGTATGAATGAATCCACTTCAGAAAAAGAGAGAATATATCACTGTAAAATAGAAAGTATTTTGTATGCATTGACATTTTAGATTCCTTTTCCAAAAATAAAGTTTTCTTTTAGTACAAATCTAAGTTATTCTTGAATTCTCTTTCCTCTGATTCAAGGAAGAGAGATGTGGTTTTGGGATTTGGGGTATGAGTTTAGCGAACATGCTCTACCTTGCAGATACTCCCATGTGTGTTCTTTCTCATGGGAGAGTTTTTTATGCTTAGATTTAAAAGAGTCAATAGAGCTGTGTGTGGTTGTGCATGCCCATAATCCCAGCACTTGGGAGGTTGAGGCAAGAGAATTATTGCAAGTTCCAGGCCAACCTGGGCTGCAAAGTGAATTCAAGGCCAGTCTGAACTGCACAGTGAAACGTTGTCTCAAAATGACAAAAAGAAAAGTAGTGGAGGAATCCAGTTTATCCTCCAGTGCTAGAGTGACTTAGTGAGTGGATTTTGAGCAGCATTTTCTTGGGCATCATTATCAAATATAAAGTGTGCAATCCCCAGCCCTGACCATCTTCCCACTAGTGTTGTGTTTATCCTGGAGAAACCCACACACATTGTCCTCTCCCACCCTATCCCTGATTCCTTGCTTAGGTTTTTGATTGAAGAAATGGACACTCACGGCTGGCTTATGTATAGTTTGTGTATCATTTCTGACCTTAATCTTAGGGTTGCCCCAGGAATTGGTGTTAAACAGCAGCATCTCACCCTCCAGATAATTTTGATCTTCAAACAGATGTAGACGACACTGATTCACAGCGACTTGTTCTGTCATTGTCTCCATTTTTTCCCCCCAGCTATTAAATGGATAAGAAATGTTGAGATCTTTCCCTGGGAATTATCATGATTTAGAATCATGATCCAAGAACACATACTGCAGCTAGAATATTTTATTTTGTTCAGACTGGTGGTTTTGACTTGTGAAATAATTCACATCCTGGTAAACCAGCTTTATTAAAAGTAACAAGAAATCTCGAGTCTGGGTGTGGAACTCACTTTGCTCTTCCCCTTCTCTTCCATTTTACGCAGTTGCCATCCTTCTGAAAGATGACTATTTCATCAGTGGTGCTGGCCTGCCTGGCAGATTCAAAGCAGAGAAGGTGGAATTTCACTGGGGCCACAGCAATGGCTCTGCGGGATCGGAACATAGCGTCAACGGCAGAAGGTTTCCTGTGGAGGTAAGAGACACCAGGCATCTCAAAGTGCAGCTGTATTGGGGGATTTCATGATCCCATGCTGTGCCATCCCCACCCTCAGACTGTCTGCACATCAGACTTGGGCAGTAGGTTGTTTCTGGAGAGGCCTCGGGACTCACCTCGGGCCGGCTCAGTAGGTTGTTTCTTATCAGGAACCCTTTGTCGGTAGCGTGGCAGCTTGATGCCCCTCTGGTATCCCATCTTCATTCAAGTGGAGAAACAGCAAATTCAGTGGCATCTTGCTTTGAGTAGATTCACTCTCCTCTGACATGGTTTTTCACTGTCTACTTCTGAAACCTTCTGAGGTGACATTTTGTGTCAAACTTGGGTGAGTACTGTCCCTCATTAGCAAATGAGTAAACTAGTGATGAAGAACCGTCTCAGAACCTTCTCTGAGTTCCACAGCTGTTTGTAATTATTGTGTGCTTTTTTTTTTTTTTTTCCCCTCCTGTCAGCTGTTGAGAAAGAGACTGTGACCATCAGGGGTCTGAGTCACTCACTGTTAACTTCACTGCAATCAGTGGTGACATGTTGCTTCAGTCCTCAGTCATTTTATGTCAATTCTCTTACAGATCCCTGCCGCTGACAGAAGGAAGTGTTGGTGCTCTGGGTCTTATACTGAGGTGGCGGGGGGGGGGGGAGCACATCCTTTCCAGGTGAATCTCACATTGCCCTTTAGTCTGATTGCTGTCACTGTTCTTTCGGTGTGATAAACATGGTTGGTTGGTGCTGTCTTCCTGGTACACTTTGCAGATGTGTGTTAGAATCACATGGGTGTCGTACCATGTCTGGCTACACTTAAACATGGATAGCTGTGGACTGGTAGCTTCTGTAATTGTAGGGACAAAGGAATCCTTTCAATTCTTAGTGTTTCATAATTCCTCTTAAACTTGGCAGCCCCCTTCAGAAAGAAAATATGTGACTGTATCTCCATGTAGATTTGCATGTAACTTACAGGGTTTCAACCTTCTCACTAGCCTAACTCCTCAAGCCCCCTGATGCAGCCTAAAGAGGTATCCTCGAAGCTTACTAGAAGGACCTTTACAAGATGAGAAAATCATTCATATTTCTTGGTTGATAGATAGATGTGTTTGATGAGACAGTGGAAAGCAGTCTCACTCTGTTTCTCCAACCATACATTCACAACACGGATCATGGATGTCTGTGATCCCAAAATGTTGTGGAATTTTGCCCCAGTGCAGTGCAACAGCTTTGTCCCATGTGCAGTGGAATTTTGCCCCATCATTTCCAATGATGCCCCAGCCACTGACTGCCAGATATCTACATCAGTTCACTTCTGACAGTGTATTCTTCTTCCACACAGTGGGAAATCCAGTCTCCGAAGATTGCCCCTACTTTCCAACCAATCATAATTCCGGCCTCTAGAACTTCTAAGCACTTCCATGAACCCCTCTGTATACACTTGATCTGCTCAAAAGTCTCCTAGAACTCAGAATATAATTCTTTTTCCTTTATTATAAACAGTGATAGGATACAAATCTGCAGCCAGACAGCTATATAGGGTGAGGTCTGGAAGCATCATAAGCCCAGGAGCTTCTGTCCCCTGCAGCTGGAGTGCATTCCCATCCTGGCATGGGATGAGTTTTTGTTCACCCTCGTGTGAGCCTCATCCTTGTTAGCTGTCCCATTCCTTAAACCCTGTGGCTTAGTCATCTTATATAGACTTGAACAAAGCCCTGAAAACCTTGTCTAAGTAAAGCTGGTAGACCGAATGTAAAGTAAGCAAGTAAAGTAAGTAACCAAGGCTTGTCCCTTCCAGTTGTCGGTCTGTCTGTGCAGCAGAGACCGGAAGACCCTAGGCTCCTCTGATCTACTATCAGGTAAGCTAGGTCGAAGAATTTATGTATGGGCAGCTCCCAGACAAAACAGCAGGGAAATATCAGTGTGTGACTCACCTTGGGAAGGAGAGTTTCTAATTTCTGTATCTTCCATGGAGGAGGCAGTCATGTACCAGGAACCATAGATTAAAAGCAAACTACATATCCTAATAGCATGTGCTTCTGCTGGCCTATAGAATACTTTGCCCTCCGCTGTTTCTGAGAAGTTATTCCTAGTTTTTGCAGTTTCATTGACAATTTTCAGTACCAAAATTCCTTGTGCACTGGGAGTCCTCTGCCTCTGTGGAACTCCCTGTCCCAGTCACACTGATTATGTGTTTCCTGGGTGGGATTTCTGTTTAATGGGCTGGTCCTCCTCTGTGAATGGAATGAATCATTTCCTAGAAATCATAGCTTTAGTTGTACTTGGAAAACTTGATTCCTAGAAGCAAAATTGGATCATGTGTTAGAGTGCAGGCTTTCCCTTCTGCTCTTCTGAAGGTTCTTATTGGCAGCGGAAGTTGAAAGGGCATTTTGTGTCTGGCGAGTCTTGCTCCAAACTGTCTTTGCCTGAGAATTAGGCATTTGTTCACTTAATGTTGTTCTGGACAAAAGACCTATGCTTGAAAGCTTGAAAACTTAATCTGGCAGCTACTTTGAAAATGATCTCTGAGCTAGGAATTAGGAACTTTAGCTTCATTTGTAATCATGTCTTCAAATGCAAAGACAACCTGTTTCCTCCTCATGCTTGATCGTGGAAAATGCATGGAGTATATATTCTTTTTAGATCTGATAACTTCTAAAGAATGTTTTCATTTCTATTCCTTATGGAGCTGCATAGAATTCTGAAGCTGACTAACTTGCTTGCCTAGTACAAAGTTGCTTGAACTTTTTCCTTTAAGTAATGTCAGATGGTAACTCTGCCTGTATTAATTGAGTTCCTCATGGAAGTCCATCTGGCTCATAATGTCTTTTCTTAAAATGTGGTAAACATGTTAAAAGTATTTAGTGGTATATTTGGAAAAGCTTTAATTTTAAAGATTAAGGGTAACTGGATCAAATTTCGCTTTGCAATATGCATAGGACCCTTGTTCACTTTTGTGTAAAATGTGTTTAATATTTTACATTAAGTTGCTTTATTTGAGCTCTTAACTCCAGCTCTTTCTGAAATTATGCTGTTTGAACACCTCAGGGTTGGTTTCTTTTCCTATAGCTACTTTGTGTTCCAAAACATTAGAACAGAAGTAAGAAAATTTTAGTCTGTCATGGAGTAATTTATCATCACTGGGGGCAGAAGTTGCATTGTATGTACTAGGTGTGAGGGCCAGAGAGGAGACATTGTTGAAGATTGCATTGGGACATAGCAGTGATTAAAATATAGCAGTGGTTCTCAACTGGGGACAGTGTCCTGACCGGTCTACCCAGACCAGAGTGATTTCTGGTGATGTTTTTAGCTGCCACTGTTGGCGGTGGAATGATAACTAGTTTCTGATGCATAGAGGCCAAGGATGTTGATTAACACCCTCACTGCAAGGAGTCATTCCGTCCCCAGATGTCACTAACGTTACAGTTGTGTGCTACTAGACCAGAGAAGCAGTGTGCCTACTGGAATTGAGCCTGTTTTGATTCTGGCATCATTTGAAACACAGAACCAAGGACTTGTTTCTTGCAAAGTTGCTCCAGCTTCTTGTGTTTTCTGCAAAGGAAATATACTTTGCTTTCTGTGTAACCGCCTTTCCATCCTGGTGGCTGTAAACTCTGCTTGAGACAATGTTTCAGCCTTCAGGTTTCCAGAGCTCTCCTGTACTTCTAGTATGCCAGCAGAATTTTAAGCATGTGCCCCTAAAGATGCCAGGTCTGTTCCCTGAAGATACATAGTAAGAGACCCAACTTTATAGAGTTCATGTGTTTCAGGAATTCTTTGAGGTTTTCTACAAATAGGCATTCAGCCATTAGAGCTTTCTGCATTTTCCTGGCTGAAATCCTGGATTCCGCATTTGGTCTACTAGTTGACCAAAGAAGTCCTTGTGAAAACAAAGGAAATCACAGACTCTTCAATAGCCAGTACTCTACAGTTCAGTGAAAGTCAGAAAAGAAAGTGGGAATCATTGCAGAGCTGGGCCTGGGGCTGGACCTGCTTTGGTTCTTACTCCAGTTCTCCTCTGCTTGGTCAGCTTCATTCTCTCCTTAGCAGGAGACTTCTGGAGCATCTGCAGTTGTGCAGGTTGGGGACAGAAAGTTACAGCCCCTGCCTTTCACATGTTTTTCCTCTAGTGGTAACACAGATGTTGAAGTAAAAGAGTACCAACAGTGCCTGTATAATCTCACTTGTGATACAGTCTCTAAAGCAGAGGTTACACTTTGCCAGGAGATAGAAGATCTCAGGTTGTGCTATGTCTGAAGATGGAAGTGGTAAATCAGAACCTACTGGTAGAGCCAGAATATTCAAGGCTGGTAAGAGGAAAGATAAGGCCGGTAAGGGGAAAGGTAAGGAGAATTTAGCATAGGTTTTTGTAGGTAAGATAGTCACCCTGAAAACATCTACTCACCAAATCCTGTTATTTCATTTGCCACAAGGGATTTTGCCAATACAATGAAGTACTCTTAAGATCACAAAGCTCAGACTATTACAGTGAATAGAACAGTGGTGGTTGATTGACCTGCTCCAGTTGTTCTGTGACTCTGGATTGTCTAGTCTGTCCCCCGACAGTCATCTCTGGTGACTTGCATCCTGTCCTTGTCACCTCCCATTCCACCCTCAACTCCTTGTTCTGTGTTAGTGACTTAAATAAAGGTTTATGCCACACTGATAGGAATTGGATCATGGCATATTTCCACTAATAATTGAAGGTAATTCAGAGAGAAACCTCCAGATGAAACCTCTGAGAGCACTATTAAAGCAGAGGTTCATTGCACGCTTGTTGTCTGAGGTAATTAAAATCTTACTTATTACAATAAGAGATTGCAGGAGTTGTTGATTCTGACTTGGTGCTTTATGAGTTGAAGTCTTCAATAAGCTTAAATAATCTAGATTGATTGTCTGTGCCCTTTCTAGTGCAACTCACAGCTGGTTCATTTCAGCTCTGTTTAGAGCATCTTAGCAAGTGAATAGAAGAGAAGGCATTTTTCTTAATATATACCATG